GTTCAAGAATTTTTAGCTTGAATTCCAGGTCGAATTGCAGGTAACTGTTAGAGACCATTTCATCACGGATTGCTACAGTAATTTCAATTCATTAGGTGTTGCAGAAGTTAGCAATGATTTTAAATAATGGAATAAAGTTGCTTTAAGAAATTGTAAATTCCTTATATGTTTTCTCCTCCCTTCATTTGGGTTGTGGGTATCAAAAGTATAATTTTGACAAGGAACTAGAGCCAACCTCATATCTAACAGGTTGCAGTCAAAATCCAGCTGTTTCTTTTAAAATAAAGATGCAAAAGGAAAATAATTCAGAATTGATGAAATGTTTGTTTCTGCCAGTTCTGTAAGTTGTGCAAGTCTGCAAACTACATAGAAGACCTTTCAACAAATTAACATATATCAAAAATAGTAGGGGAAATGTGGAATAATCAGACATTAAGAAGTGATGAGTGACTTGAAACTGAGTGCAGGCAAACATCTCCTCTCTGTGATCTTAAGACAGTAGTGTTTATTGGGTCCCAGGTCCAATTTCCCTCATATTTTTCCAGTTGAGAATTTTGAAGGCCTGAGATTCCCTACCAGAGACAAATATGCTGCATCAAGGTCATGAGGAGGAACAACTTTAACCTGGCAAAGAACTTGTACCCACACAGCTTCAGCACTCAACCCCTCAAGCAGACAGCAGAGAATTTACAGCTTCAGTCTGCTCCAACCTCTCCATAATTATATATGCAACCCTACACCTCTGGTAATTACCAGGCAGGCAAGAAGTTACCCTCTGGCCCCACGTAAGGTGGTCTATTTTGTACCTTGAATTTTCCAATGGAAACATCCCCTTAGTGGGATTTCAGGTCGTGCTGCTGCATAAGGCCCATGTGTGGTTTGAGTGTAGCACAAGGAAAGCAGGGAGGGAAAGACAGTAAGAGGGAACATTGGTAAAAAGATCCTGCAAAGCAGAATTCAGGTGGCTACATGGAACTGCTGGTGCTGTAAGGGTCAAGAACTCCGCTTGGGTGAATGGGAAGAGCAGTGATCATCTGCAGTGCAAACCAGAATAACTCCTCAAAAAATTCTTAGTACATTGCATGGTACTTTTGCAACTGCTATAGAATTTCATACTTGGGGTACTCATTATCCAGCACCGAAAGACAAGAGCAAGGTGTTTAAGTCAGATCTATGGAGGCTGCAATATCAAACCTTGCACATTTTCTTTGCTTAGTTTACAGAAGAAGCTGCTTTGTGAAGCACTGGTCAGTTTTGGGAGCCCGTGGAGATACACAGGATGAATAAAATGTGCCCTTTACCCTTCCACAACACAGTCTTTTAGGGACAGAGTTGGTTTCTTGATCCATGAAGCTTTGAAACGAACTCAGGATTTATCAAGCGCACTGATGTAGAAAGCAGTTCTGTCCATAGGAGTCTGAGTTTCTGGCTCAGGGAACCAGACCCTCCTGAGGCCCTACACGCCTTGTGCCAAAAGTCTGGAACAAAAGGACATGTTTCTGTGTGAAATCTGTCTCTTCCCACGCTTCACGCTTGCTAAGATGCAGCCTTACAATGGAGAAGTGAAAAATGTGTGTATTTTACTAATTACAGTAACTACACCAACCTGGGGGAATTTGCAGGTGTGGGAAACTCAGCTCACAGGTGACTCTGATTACACCAGATGAGCTACTGTGAGGGCTGAAGGAAGTGGTAGATTTTTCTCCTCCTCACTTGTTATTGTAGTGGTGTTATCCAGGGAGCCAGAAGCGAGGACTGTTAGAGTGAAAGGAAGATAGAAGGGTTTCTGCAGAAGCAGAGTTAGAGCTGGATGAGGATTAACTCAAGAAGTTTGCATTTTCTCTAGAAAATCAGCTCTTGTAGATGGAGAATTTGTCTGTGGGACCTGGGTCTCAAGCAGGGTGGCTGTTCAGAGAGAAAGGAGGGGGCTTGGTGCTTTCCATGAAAGTGTGTGTGCCAATACCACATAAAAATTATATCTTGTGCTGGCTGAGTCTGATTTGTATGTGCTCAGGAGGTGGCTCTTGGTGCCCCTGGGGTGGAGAAGGCTGCAGCACAGTCCTGAATGTGTCTGGAGCTGGAGGAGCAGAGGGGCTGGATGCCCCTGCCACTGCCACAGCTGCCTCCAGCCTCGCTGCCCGGCCGAGTTCTGTCCTCACTTACGCAACAGCAATTTAGATCTTTGACCAAAGATTTAATTTATTATTAGGGACATATGTTTCTCGTAACTATGGTTTCTGTCACAACCCACGAGCATTAGGGGCTTTTTGTTGAGAATAATGGAAAATTCCCATTGAGCAAAGTTCCCCCCTGCTGTGCCATTAGCTTAGCACCATATATCTTCAAGGGTGTGGAGAGGGAGGGTTTTAAATATTTTTAAACAATTAATTTAAATAGCTTTTTCCCCTTAACTTTTCTCATTACAGCTTGATATTAAGTTAAATAGTTTCATGAAACATTCTTCTTCAAATTAAAATTGATGTGTTTCCATTTTTATAACCAAGCAACAAATCTTTATATTTTTGGAGCTGAGAATATGCCAAAATCTATTTACTTAAAAAAAACTCCATAAGCCAAAGTTAAAAACAGAAATGGGTTGGGGTAGTTTATATCTGAACTGTAACGCAAATTCAAAGATCTTTCAGACTAAAGTGTAAGGATTGCTGCATCTGATTCAACCAGGGATCTCTTCCAGGATGAAAGAGGAAGAAAAGAGATTTAAACCTTTACTCCAGTAAAAGTAAAAACTGATTTTCACTGTGGCATTTCAGTAGTCAATGATGAGGCGCAAAGCAGAAAAAAATCCAGTTATTTCTTTTGCAGATTTGATGGAATAGACAGCTAACTGAGAGAAGCGTAGAAGATGAATTATGGTCAAAAACGAGACGGAAGCCAGTCTTAATTACTTCAATAACTGTTTTAAACCTTGTTTCATATGTTAACCTGGGTACTACATATTTCAAACTGGGCTAGTAAGTCACTAAAGGTAATGAGGACTCCATGGTGTGATGTGAGTCAGGGTCTCACAGAAGCCTAATGACACCAGATTTAATTGGAAGGTGTAGTTGATGAACCAATAAAATCCCTAAAACCAAAAGCAGCAATATGGGGGCGGGGTTCTGCCCACAAGTAATTGCTCAATGGTGTAAAATGTTGCAGAGAAAAGCCAAAGTCATATTTTTGTTATTAGAGAAGACAGAAATCAGTTCACTTGCTTCCTTGTTTTGATATGCTATGCATTTAAGAGATTATATTAATAACAGTCTAAGACAACTATGTGGTGGCTGGGCTAATCTTTAAATATGTTATGGCAGATTATGCCTGCATCTTAATGTGGGTTATGCTTTACATGATGGAAATATTCACAAAGTCTGGAAAGCCACAAAACCAGCACTGGGATTTATTTAGTGTCAAAAATATGTTACTTCCCAATGTCCTTGTAATAGTTACATAATACTTGTATTTTGATCACAGCGCTTTTCAACAGGTACCTTTGCTGCATGTTGAGATAGAGGGGCTCCACAGAGCTTGACAAAAATGTGATGCTCAAATGTTGTGCCCCGGCCATGCTTGGCTTGTCACTCTCCCAGACACCAGGTGCCCTTGGAGGATATGTGCTATCCTTATCAAAGAGGATGCCTTCTTTGGGATGGGGGATTATCTGCACACACCTTCTGCCTGACACAGAGAGCCAAGCACACAGACTTGTCTGGCTGAAGACCAAAAAGCAGCTTTAGGGTTGATCCATGTCAAACTTTTCTACCTATCGCTTATATTTTCCATGCATTTCTGTTTATCCTTGTAAAGAACACCACCTTCTGTATTTGTGCCATTTCTTGTTTCTGGATACTGACTTTTTTGCTTCTTCCTTCACCTCATTTCAGGGGGAAAAACCCTAAATCATATTAAAAATTATCCTAACAAAATGCTTTGAGATCACATAATGGAAGACCTCATGAAGTACATGTCTTTGAGGAGAAGTTCAGCTTACCCTCTGTCTTGTTGCTACCAAGTTTTTTGGTAGAAAAATTTTTCAGTAGATAGGGAATGATGCTTTTACTCAAAGCAGATGTATAAAATTAAAAAAAAATTATGTCAAAAATTAGAAGGTATCAACCCTAAACTTTTCTATTTCTATCTTTATATGGTATATACAGGCACATCACTACTTTCTCTGAGGAAGAAAAACATGTTTATGACAGTATCCAAGGTGTCAGCTCTTCACATCTTGGTGACAAGGTAGAAGACTTCAACCTGATGGCAACGACTGAAAAAATTCCATGTAGGTTATGAAGTTGAGCACTTTAGGCTTGCACAAGTGTCTGTCTCTTGCAGAGTTCCTGACAGCAGCCAGTGAGGCTCACAGGAGCACGACAACAGTGCCTGCTCCCTGGGCTCAGGAGCTTCTCCAAGGCTCAGGGCTGTGCTGAACAGCTCAGTGTGTGAGAAGAATGATATTTCAGCACTGAAAACCCAACCATTCTGTTTGTTTATACTTTTGATTATTTGTAAGTTCCCTAACTACCCCTGCGTGTGTGACTCTGCCATATTGCACAATGTGTTACCATGGTGGGTCAGATTAGAGCTCCATTGCCAACCCTATTCCAGTAAGAGAGCTGGCATGAAGAAAAGATGACTGAATTAGTGGCCAATTGGGACATTTTCTGACCTACTCTTTAGGAACCAGGTCCTCTGAACTTTCCCATTATCCTTCGGCTTCATCCTTTTAATAGGGACCAAATCTCCATTAACAATTGAACACCGACAATAAGTGCCATCAGGAAAAGGAAATTCAATTTTAGTGGGGGATGACAGCCTTACCTTTTCGCGCTTAATTGGCCGTATTGTCTCCAAAAGTTAATTGGTTACTTAGTCCAGGTAGTTAGTAAAATGTTTAGCTGCGTCAAAAAGCCCAGGCTCCTACTGTTAATGGGGCATGAAATGGAATGTTTGATACTGCAAATAAAATCAGTGATATTCAAGGATGTTATGGTAGGTAATGCGTTGAAACTGCCATTTAATGGGTCCTGGAAGATTAGGGTAGTGTCAGCTGGAACCGCCCGGTCTCTTTTCTGACATTGTTAGTTGCCTCTTCATTTACTTAACGGCTGTCTGCACTGATTACATAGGCATAAAACTCCCTACAAAAAAACAACAGAGACACGCTCTATTAGCAGTCCAATTAGAACTATTTGCATATTACAGTTCATTTCTGCTTAAGTGAATCCCTAATACAACTTTAGGAAAAAAAAATTCTATTGTCATTTAAAAAAAAAAAAAAAGATGGGAAAAGAAAGGAAAAGCCTTAAAGGTGATCTCTTCTCTACCTCTTCTTTCTCCCCGGGTAAATTTAGTAAAGGCCCATAAAAAATAAGTGGTGGTGGAGCAGTCCAAAGGTAAGAGATTTCTGTTGCAGCCCTATATGATGATGATGACTTTTTAAAATATCAGGAAAATCATGCCAACTTTTTTATATGGCCATTGGGGAGTTTTCCCCTAGGTTGATTTCCAATATGTTTTCTTTCTTTAAAGTTTTCTTTAAGCTATGCAGAGGTAAATGTTAGATCAACCTTCACCTTGGGTTTCTTGAGCTGAATAGCTAATGTGTCTGAGAATGGATCTCAGGAGGAGCACACTTGATGCTGTGCAGTTCACCTACCCTATTAGCAAATGGTGGAAAATGATTCCTCCCCTTCTCCCAATCCTCTCCCACACCCTTAGAGGCTGGAGCTAATAGGGAGGGAATACAGCTCTCTGCTCCTCCTGAAAATACTTTTGTCTAAATTTAAACCTATTGTCAAAAGGCAAAGAATAGATGCCTTGGGACTGAACTGAAGCAGGTGAGAGCAAATGCATTCAAATTATCAGAACTTCAGAGGAGCCATCTCCTGCAGGAAATGTGGGAGACTTGGGATGACCTAATTGTGGCCTTCAAGTACCTGAAGGGAGCCTACAGGCATAGAGACATTTTATAAGGGCATGTAGGGACAGGACAAAGGGGAATGGCTTAAAACTGACAGAGAGTAGGTTTAGATAAGATATTGGGAAAAAATTCTTTACTCTGAGGGTGCTGAGGCACTGGCATAGGCTGCTCAGAGTGTGAGTGCCTTATCCCTACAAGAGTTCGAGGCCAGGTTGGATGGGATTTGGAGCAACTTGGTCTAGTGGAATGCCCCTGCACAGAGCAGGATGTTGGAAAGAGTTAAACTTTAAGGTTCCATCCATTCTATGTCTCTGTGAAGTAAGAGAAGCTGGAACTGGTGGTGGATGTTTGTTGGAGGCCTCTCTTGACTCATCTGTAGAATGGGAAGAGGAATATCCCTATGGCCAAGTCACTGTGGGACTTTTGTTAAAGTGAGGGCAGTGCTTTGAGCTCTGCATCTGCAATGGCAGCGACTGTGCCCATACACACAGCAAGAGAGCTGAGGGCTAGAAACAGAGCCCTGCAGGACTGTGAGGTGAAGCCTTTTTAAAACAATAGCAATAACCAAAGGAAATAATTTCCACTCCTCCTTTAAATTTCTACTTTCCCATAGTCTGCTGAGCCTGTTGTATTTAAAGGCCTCTTTTTAAGATGGTAATTACAATTTGTGCACATGCTTGCTTGCGGGGTGAGTAGGCTGTTTCTCCTGTGAAATAAAAATGCTGTCTTTTTTTTTTTTTTTTTTTTTTTTCCCATCTCTTTTGTTAGCATGTTTCCCAGGGCCCCTTTCTCATGGAAACCTGGGGGCTGACAACCAGCAAGAAGCTGCTCACCTGCCTCTTGGTTGGCTGGGATACATCTCCGAGGGTCTCCAAGCTGGGTGGGAAAGCTGAGCTGGTTGATTGGTACTTGGATTAGAGGCACCTACAGGAGCCCAGGGGAGATCTTTGATGTTCAAATGCTAGTGTAAATACCGACAGAGTTATTTCCAAAGCTCGCACAGTTCAATTCCTTTTTACATGCAGACCTAATTTCACAGGTCAGCCAACCCACCTCCGCTATTATCTGGATTTAGCGATTAATAGAGGATTTCAGTAGTTGACTGTGACAAATAGTGACTAGAGAAGGGAGGGGGGAACTGTTCTAAAACAAGGTTTTTAACAGGTCGTCCTCCCCAAATCCATTATTTTTACTCTGACACAAAAACAATTGCAAACAAGCCCAGAACCAAGAAAATCCCTCAATGCAAAGAGTGAAATTCTGTTTCTCTCTCCCTCCACCCCTGCCTTGCCCATCAGAGGAGTCACAGTGTGCAATATGTATTGTTTTTATGCCCTGTTGGGTCCTTTGTGTCCAGCCTCCTGCTTAATATCTAACACTTATTCACACTTACCAGAGATGAGTATTGTCAGACAAAACTCTGGCACTCAAACTCCCGCTGCCTCCCGGGGCTGCCCAGCCCCAGAGGGCACAGCCATGGGGGGACAGACCCTCTGCCCCCACAAACACTCCCTGCCAATAAAATGGCTTTCTGGAAAAGGACTGCCTGCTAATAAAACGGATTTTAATCAGTAAGTAATGATTAAGGATTGGGCAGTGCTTTCTGCTGTTGAATACACCTTTTTTTTCTCAAGCATTGGGGAGAAAAAAAGAAAAGCTCTAAGTTATTTTAGGGACTAGTTTCTTGCACATGAGATGAATGAAAGAGAAAAGCAGTACTCGGGAAATATTCATTTTCTTCCTTATATATATATATATATATATATATATAACATATATAAAGAATGGCAACCAGAATTGCCTTTTTAAATAAAACATCAACCCAGGAATGCAAACTCTGTTTATATTCAACATCTACTCTGTCTTTTTTTTTCCTGGTTCAATGTCATGCCTAGTGGAATAGCAATTCACAGAAAACATGGGATAAATCATTAGTTCCAGTTTATTCTGCTCTTATTTACAGCAAGGATTTCTTTACCACTGAACAGAATTGATTGCTGGTGAGGGACTATTTGATTATTAGTGTGGGACTACTTGGGCACTGTGGTAGTCACTGAGGGAAGGTGGCTTTTTTGGGTGCACAAGGATTATGTAAAGGCTTGATCCATGGTGTGGGAATGTCTGCCTCTTTCTAAGGGTTACTCTGCAGAGAACTCCAGATTCTGGAAATTGTTTTACCTTTTATTTCCATTAAATAATGTGAACTAGCAGAGGATTTGTTGATTTAAAAAACAAACAAAAAAAGAATAGATTATTAGGTACTGCAAATAAAATCTACTCACTTATTTGTTAATCACAGTGGTGATTTTATTTTGCTTCTCTCTGAGTGAGAGGGGAGAGTCAGGTTGCCAGTTGCACTTTGCATTTATGATTAGATTTCCTTACTGATCCTCCTGGGATTTCCAGTACTGAAACAGGAGAAATTTATTTACTTTTATTTGTGTGTTTTGGGTTTTTTTAAAATTAAATTCTTTTTTTTTTCCTACAGTCTTACTCTAAAAATATCCATGTTCTGCCCTCAAAAAATTTGCCAGAGGCTTTCAAACTGAAAAGCTACATTTTGTTACCACTTGGAAATTTGCATCTCAAACTCTGGTGAACTTTAGCTGCACGCTGATGACCCGTGTGCCTGTGAGCCAAGAAACTTGCCTTGTAAAGGGAATACACGGGCTGAGAAGCTCCAGGGTCAGCTGGAGCCAGGAAATGCAGTGTCACAAGAACAACAATTTGCATGAGTCCTGCAAAAATAAATGCGCGTATTGACATCTCTGGGCCCAAGTCAAACTCCGAGGGTGGGTCATTCTCTTCTCGTTTTGTGCCCCTCTTTTAGGGAAAAGCAGAGCTGTTTTGTTATTTTGTTTGTGTAACCAAGAGTCATCTTTCTCCAGTCTTGGTTTGCCTGTGTGGGACTGGACTCCAGCTCTGGAGCCCTGGCTCTGAGCACCCTTGGGCTGACCTGGCGTTCAGCGGCAGGATCACATTACTAATGAGTGCATGTTTGAGCTCAATTAAAATAAATACATTTTACAAAACTCAGCCTAGCTTCAAATATTCAGGCAGCTGTCACTGCCAGTCACCTGCCAGTTTATTGCTTCAAGTCCTTTCCTCTAACTTAAAATCCTCTTAGCCTCTGCTCAGGGACAAATGACTTCTGTTGTTCATTTTTGTTTACTGCTTTGGCTGTACACACAACACTTCTTGGAAATTGCTTCTTTCCCAAGTATGGTACTTTGGCACATGAAATAATTTGGCTTAAAAGAAAAAAAAAAAAAAAAACAACCAGCTTGCAACATTTCCAGTATTTCTGGCCCACTGAAAAAAAAAAAAAAACAAAACAAGGGAAGAGTGGATGCCTCACTTGTTGAAGAACTAGCAGAATAAATCTGTTCATTAAAGAGGACACAGACTTAAGGAAAACATGGTACTTCTGGCTTTTTAATACCAGGGTATATATTTCATAATGTATTTTGGGGGAGAAGGAGACTAAACCATATTTTTTCTTATTTTATTTCTTTTTCCCATCTTCCTTCTGTTAAGTGATGGAAATTCCCATATTGACACCACTGCTTTATATCCAGCCTCCTGACTGCAGCACATTCCTTATTTCCACAACACTTCTCTCCTGTAGTAACTTCAGTCCAATTTCTGCTCTAATATATGTATGTGTATCTACTCATATAAATAAATACATTCCCTGCCCTCTGTAATTGCATCAGTAGCCTCCAAACTTGGTGAAACACAGGCTCGTTGTTAGCTTCCTGAATTGGCTGTGAACAACTGTGTTTTCATGAGACATCCTAAAAATTTATAATCAAACTGGTGGTGGAGACAATGCTGCCATTGACCACAGTGAGCACTCACTGAAATTTACAGGGCAGTTGAGTCCATCTTCCAGCCGTTTTTTTTCTGATTTTGCCTTTCAAAGTCACAATGAACACTTGTGCTTTCTTCAGATTTATGAAACTCCCCAATGTTCTATTATTTTATTTTTTTCTAGCTCTTCCCTGGGCTCCACCCATGTCTTCCTGCTAATTCAGTGTCCATTTCAGAATTACAGGTACACTTGTAAGAGAGTTTTGGCAGACAGAGCTTTTTAAAGCCAATGGCAATTTCATGCATACATATCCAAAGGTATTGACCCTCAAGGACGCTTGTGGTTAGACATGGATAGTGAGCATTTGATTACCTGTGTGCACCTTCAATTATATCAAGGTGTGTGTAATTAAAAATGAAGGGCCTGATTCCCTGCTCTGTTACTCCATTTCATGCTGGAACAATTGAAATGAGCAATGTGCCCTGCTGAAAGTGCTGTAGAGGGGTGTAAATGGTAAGTTTGGGTAGAGTTTATGAGGGAACTTGGGAAGGTTGTCTTTCTCAGTGGATGCCCCATCCATAGCAGTGTTCAAGCCAGGTTGGATGGGCCTCTGAGGAACCTGTTCTAGTGGAAGGTGTCCCTGTCCATGGCAGGGGGTGGAATGAAAGAATCTTTAAGGTCCCTTCTGACCCAAACCATTCTCTGATTCTACATTCCTGTATATTTAACAAACCCATAGAATGAAAACAGCAACACTTGCTATGTTTTCATCATTGATTAACCAGTTTCATGACCTTTTCAGTATGGGAAATAGTTGGCAGTTTTAACTAACAGTAAATTGATCCCATTATTCAGTATAGAATATTCCACTGATTTCAAACAGGATGTGTATTAAAGAGGCCAGCTACTTTCTATCAGTGTCATGCACAGGAAAATAAGCAGGGCTGTTATATGGCATCTAAGACAATGGCAGGACAAGCCATAAACACAAACATTCACACACAGCCAGGTCTCCAAAGCTCCTGTTTGCCAATTACAGTAATGCTGATGACATATCCAGTTTAACGCACACAGCATTAAAATAGTTCCCCCTTTTCTAGGAAAATCTAATTACACCAAGCCCAAGCACTCAATCAAACCTGTTATTCTGTGGCTAAACAGCCCAGTGTTAATGCAATTTGAGGAGATCCAGGCCGTGACTGGGAACGTCATGTATTAACAATATCTAATGGGAGCTCCCGTAGGTAAATGAATATGCTAACAAGCGAGGTCGCTGCTAAATCTAATATCTTTAAGCTGTTTAATTCCAAACAGTCCCTTAATAAATCAATTGACCGGGAGAGCTGATGCCCCTATCAATTATTCAGGAGGGCAAATAAATATTTCAGATGATTTGATAGGAAGTCTAGTGTTGGCCTTATAGAAAGCTTTGCATTTCATTAGCCTCTTGCTAAAAGTTTTATAATGTGTGGAACAGTGGTGGTTTTCCCTAATCTTGAAACCCCAAGTGTGGGGAAGAAGAGGCTGAGGCATCCTGATTCAACCACCTCATCTGCCAGGGACTTGATGACAGCTGAGCCAGGAAGAGATGGGAATAGTTTCAGGCTTCCTAGTGACAACTTCTCCACCCCAACAAATGATGAGAGGAAAATCAGACCACACTTTCATTTCTGGGGAAACCAAAAAATTAGTAACCTTAGGAAACTCGGATTAGTGGCTAATGCCACGTGCCACACTGCCTTTTGTAAATGAGGGAAGTAATTTGTGTTTGTATTGGATTATTTGTGTGTTTATGTTAACACTGAGCCATGATTCAGGTTTGCCAAATGCAATTCCCTTGAAGGAAAAGCAGAGTTATTAAAAAAGGTGCTGCCTGTAATTGATCTGCATTAAGTAAGTGAAGCTTGCAAAGTGCTTGAGATACTTGAATGGAAGAAGCCAGGAGTGCAAAATATTATTCTATAAGAGCAAAAGTATTATCATTGTATCTGAAAAATTGCTGATCATTGAAACATGTGGTTTATTATAAAATCAATAAAGACAAAGTTACAGGAGAAAGGCAGAGAAAATGTACCTGATGCTGGCGAACAAAGAAGAGGGAAGTCCCTGAGGAAGCTTCTTTAACCATGTGTAAATTTGCTTGCCTCTGCCCAATCCATTTATACCACTAATACAGATTAAAAGTCAATGATTACTTACATAAGCATTTCAGTTTATGGAAAGGAACCTGTGCCATAAAACATGATCTATTGTTCTGCAGTATGTCTCTGTACACAGATCTGTGATAAGTCAGGGTCTCATTCCTGCCATAGCTCTCCCACCCATGTCTCTCCTCCACAGAGACTCCCTGCAGCAGAAGGCTGAAGAAAACAGGCTTAGGGTGTAAGTGTGTTGGCACCAAAGTCATCAACACTGAGCCTGAAGCCTCCCACTGAGCCTCATCACTATGGAGAACATAAAAAATGAGATTTCTTGCAACAACAACAAGCAAGGAGGTCTCTGCCTGGCATGGTGCTCACAAGGGAACTCAAACTCCCCAGCAGTGCTCTCCACGTGGCCTGGGTTTAAGCTCTGATGAGAAAGGGGGCTCAAATCCTGCTCCTCCAGAGTTACAGACTGTATGAAACTCTCCAAAGGGTGGTTTACAAAGATTTCCTCCCCACTGATGCAGCATAAGGGATTTTCCACAGTATGAGGGTGAAGATTTCCAGCTACAAAAGTCCATTAGGTGGGAAGAATGTTTAAAAATTAAAAGTAAGACAAGTTTTTAAATAATTTTGGACACATAAGAAAACATTACACTTTCAGAACTTGACTAGAAAAGCTTCTGACACTCCAGACTGGGTCCTCAGCAGAAATAGTCTGATTTACGCCTCCTCTAGAGCAGGCTTTTGGTTCTTTCTGCTTCTTCTCCCTAAATAGCAAGATCCATATAAAAATCACTGAATGAGGATCTTCTATGGCAGCAGTTTTACATTGCAAATTACTCAATGAGGTATGAAAGAAACATCTCAGCTGCGTGAAATCATAATTTTAATGTTAGGTTTGGTTTATTTTCAGCTTCATGACTCAATGGGGTAGATCCTCTCTATGGCACTGAAAGTAAAATCTGGCCAGTTTTAAAATCCAGTGCTGGGATTTCAACTCAATCATTAAGAAACCTTGTTATTTAACTCAAAATGCCATGTTGTCATGTGTGTGCTGAAGCTGAGCCTGGGTGCCACAGAAGTTTGCATGACAAAGTGGGAATGGGAATTACTCTGCATGTGGAAAATGCAAAAGTACTAGAAGGATATTAAGGGATAGTACAATCATTTACTAAACATAAAATTTGAATCCTAAACCACTTTTTTTGTTTCTTTTAAGTTCAGCTTCTAGTTGTTTAAAAAAAAAAAAGTTTATTTTAGGAAAGACATCTTTACTTTCAGAGAATAAATGGCTCCCATAAACTCATGTAAGAGTGTCTGTTCCTGTTTTCCAAAGAGAAGACTTTTTCAATCTTTTGAAAAAGCTATTTCTACTGGAAGGGACAAAATCCATTGGAATTTCTTAGAAAAATAGTATGGTGTGAAAGTTTTTTTTATTTTCTTTTTTTTTTTTTCCATTAAAATGAAATTCTCAAAACATTTACTTTAGATTCAGTTCATGAAGGTCTTTCATATTCAGCTATCCTTAGGGACCTCAAGGACAGTGTTGGTGAGGATTTTATGAAAATATTGATGCAGAAAATCACATGAAGTTTTTTATTATATTGAATTTTGGTGTTTGGGATAAGGAATTGTGGAGTAAGTACATGACAATCAGGTTAGTAATTATTGAAGCTTTCATTTTTTTTTACTCCCATCATTTCAAATTTCCATGAAGGACAGGGTCTGTCCTAGTGGAATTCTAGCTAGGGAGTAAATATACACAACTGCTCTATTTGTCAGCAAAGCTCCTGCTATTAGCAAG